CTATCAGGCTTTCCCTCTTCACCAAGACAGATCACAGAGTAGGACACAATTGCCCATCTCCTTTCTTTCCATCTCTAGAGCAAACCCACCAACCCTGTCAGCATTAAGGACCAAAACACTGCTGGGCTTTATTTTCCCCATTTTATAGAAGAAGGTCAGAAAAGTTAACAACTTGTTCAAGCAACACAGCTGGTGACAGGCAGCCCAAGATTTGAACTCGTCTGTGTCTTTCCCATCATGCTCTGCTGCTTCTCAAAAGTTTCACTGCTAAATACTGAGGGGAAATAGGTTGTGGCAATAAATATGGAGAAATTCAGAGGTTCAAGAAGTCTTCAATACTCGCTGTACTTGGCCCAAATTCAGTGGCCTGACCCCCTTGTTAGCCAGTGCCTTGGGGAAGCCCTCAAACCTCTCACCCTGTTCACTGTCCTCAGGGCATCTTCTCACTACACCGACTGAAATTTCCATTGATATAAACTACTATCCATTGAGGTTTGGAGGGAAGAGTTAGGAGAGGGAAGGAAAAGAGGAGAGAACATACATTAATCTAGTGCCTCTCATATGCTGGGTTCTGTGCTGATTGCAAAGCTCAGTGATTAAGAGCACAGGCTCAGAGCCAGACAGATCTGCATGCAGATATTGGCTTTATCACTTACTTGCTTTGNGGGGGCATAGGGTCTGGCAGGAAAGAGAGATTTTATTTTACATATTTTAAATATTATAATAAAATTAAATAATATTAAATATTTTAATAAAATACTTAAAATTTTTATATTTTTATTAAATGTTCTTTAACACTGTTTGGATTTTTTTTTAAATCATGAACAAAAATTACCTTTTCAATAAAAACTATGGTTAAAAAATAAAAAAGAAGAGCTGGCCAGCTAGCTCAGTTGGTTAGAGGGTGGTGCTGTCAACACCAAGGTCCAGGGTTCAATTCCCTGTATTGAACAGTCACCAAATAAAAAATAAATAAATAAAATCAAAAAGAAGGGGCAGCAGGTTACATCAGTGCTGTGCTTGTTAAGATGATGGCAGAACCATAGTCTGGCTCTTTGGTCAGGAGCACCCATCGAGGCCCTCATGAATGGCTATTAACAGCTGAGCCAGATGTCCTGGTCACTTCCTTTCCACTTTCCCCTGCCTGGCCCTCAGTTCTCAGCTGCTTTCCATTCTTGTTAAAATTTGCCACCATTCACTCTANATAACAGTAGTAACTATCTCAGAGGATTGTGGCAGTAAAATAAAACATACTGTATGTATAAGACTTAGAATAGTGCCTGACATACAGTAAGAGTTCATTAAATGTTAATTATCATCACTACCTCAGGTAAACCTCAAAACAACACCATGACCTAGAGATTATTGTTCCATTTTATAGAGTAGGAAACAAAGGCTCAGTGCTTTCTTTCCCTTAGACACAGCCTGCGTTTTAAGCAGGTAATTTAAATCCCTGCAGAAGTTCAGATAATATGCTCTCTCAACTTGTGTCTACGTCACCCAGGAATTACCCTTAGGAGGTTTCCTGACTGTATTACCTGAGTCTACAGTCAGAAATACTCCAGTT